CCTGGTAAAGTTGAGTGGGGACCAGCCAGATGAAGGGGAAGAAAGAGCATGCTCCAGGCAGAAAGGGCGACATATGCCAAAGCTAGGAGGTGAGAGAGAGCATGATGCATTCTGAGAACATGAAAAAGTTTAGTATGGCCAAGGCAGTGAAGAAGGAAGAATAGGCAGGGGTAGGGCTGTGGAAAGCTTAGTTGTTTGGAACTTACCCCCAATTCAGTGGGGAGCCAGCCACTGAGGTGTTCAAGTGAGACATGGAGCAACTCAGATTTGAGGGAGATCTCAGGCTGTGTCCCGTAGCAGAGGCAGGTAGACCAGTTTAGGAGCCATTGCGGTCATCCAGGAGAGAGATGGCCAGGCAAGGTTGGCAGAAGTGGCGACTGGGAGGAGGGGACTGATGGGAGATATTTCAGAAGTAGATAGATGGGATGTGGGAGTGAGGCAGAGGAAGGGGTCTGGTTTGGGCAGCAGGGTGGGTTGTTGGTGCCCTTCATTGAGAGTAAGATCCCAAGGAGGAGGAGGAGGAGGAAAAATTTGAGGAGGAAGCTCAGGTTGAGAAAAGTTGAGTTTTAGGGCCAGTGATTTGTCTAAGTGGAACTCCTCAGTGACCAGTTGATGATATGGATCTGGAGTTCAGCTGTGAGGTCTGCCCTGGAGATAAAGATGTGGGTACCATCAACCTACAGACCCTGTGAGTGGGTCAGCTGGCTAGAGGAGGGAGAAGGGCAGTGGGAACCGGGAGAAAAGCGAAGGCCAAATGTATGTCACATGGTGTGGAAGAAGGACTTTTGCAACATTCCAGAGTCAATATCATTTCTTTCCTTACTACTTTGGCTTCCTATTTACTCAGTATCTGTGTTCCTGGAGGTGGGGTGGCCTGAGGGAGGGTGTGTCATCCTTTTCCTTTCCTTGTATTCTTTGGGCCTTTGAGGGCTTTTGGTGTTCCTTCTCTTTTGGGGAAAGCAGTTTCTTGTTTCTTTTTTTTTTCCCTCTTCCAGGCTGTTTGTGCAGTTCTGACTGCCAGAGCCTGCTGGCGGGGACTTCCTAGACACATACATTAAGATGCAGCA